AAAAATGATAATACATGGAGGAAAAAAATGAATAACTTAGAACAGATTTAAGTAAGTTTAAACCAAGAATTGAACTCCCTGAAGCTCAAAATGAGACAAAATAAAAATCAAACCCTCCATGAGACAACATGAAATATTAAAGGTAAATTTCTTTAAAATTTTGTCAAAACAAAAGAAATGGAACTGAAGAAAATCAAGAAATCATGCTGTGGGTCAACTACAAATTTATGTTACATAAATATGTTACATAAAGTGGGCCCTCAGTGCAGGAAGACAATACTTCTACATTTCCCTAATCAATTCACAATTTCATTCACCCCAGTGACTCTTCTAAAACTTTTCATCCATCCATTGCATCTTTCCCCCATGCTCTCAGCTAAGGACTTGCCTCATACTTCACTGAAAAAAATGGAGGCCATTGGCCAAGAGTTCCCTCTTCTACTCTTTTTCATTTCATGTAACTCAAAATGCCTTCCCCCCAACTCTTATCTTCTTCACCCATCTCACATGAAGAGGTAGCCCTCCCTCCTCGCAGAGGCAGGCCTCTCTACACGTACAAGCAATTCTAGCAGATTGTCCCACCCAATCTCTCCCTACCTATTGGCTATTTCCCTTTTGCCTACAAATGTATCTATGTCTTCCCCATATCTTTAAAGCCCTCACTTGGTCCATCCATTCTCTCTAGCTATTGTCCTATCTCTCCTCCCTTTCAAGGTGAAACTTGAGTCATTACAATTGGTGCCTCCACTTCCTGTCCTCTCACTCTCTTGTAAAATGTCTACAATCTGACTTCCAATGTCATCATTCAACTGCCACTAATCCTTTTCAAAGTTACTAATGATCTTTTAAATGTCAAATCTAATGTTCTTTTCTCATTCCTCAACCTTCTTGACCTTTCTACAGCCTTTGATACTATCTGTCACCTTCTTCTGAATACTCTTTCTGGGTTTTGGTGACACTGCTCTCTCCTGGTTTATCTCCTACCAAATTACTCCTCAGTCTCTCTTGCTGGATCTTCTGTTACTACCACTAAATATGGGCCCTCTTCTCTTCTCCCTCCATACTGTCAATGACCTCATCAGCTCCCATGGGTTCCATTATTATCTCTCTGCAGATTATCACATCTATTTGTCAAGTATTAACCTCTCTCCTGACTTCCACAGTCTCACATCAACTGTTTAATGGATGCCTTATACTGATGTTGCTGGCTAGCAAGCCAGGCTCATCTGTCAATGTGCTGGGGCTCAGGAATAGGTGGAGAGTGGGAAATTCCCTCCTCCCTTTGTGGAGGAATGGCTTTCTTTCAGTTTATTCTTCCCTAAGGGACAGAGCCACCAGTGTTTGGGGTGGGGGAAGTAAGATCACCCAGACTTTGCCTTTTTGGGCATAGGGCTTCTTATTAACTCATGTCTTGGGAGAAATCTAGAAGACTGTTGCTCTCCTTCCCCTTCTAACATACTGTAATTTCAGCTAAAATGCAGCTTAACCTTGTCCCTCCTTCCTCCTTGCCCCTCCCCAGCCACTCTGCAATGATAAAATCCAAATTTTATGAATTTTTAAATCTAGTTAAAATATTGCATTGGTGTTCTGTGCTTTCTTGTGTAAAGGAGGCTAAAATGCCCAACCCCATGAATAGCCTTGCATCGGGAGCTCTAAAAGCTTAGCACAATAAGAAATGATGGGCAGGATAGTATCAGAAATGCCTAGGAAAACTTATATGTGTGCAAAGTGAAATGAAAAGAACATTGTACACAGTAACAGCAATATTACACAATGATCAATTGTGAAAGACTTAGCTACCCTGATCAAGACCATGATCCAAGATAATTCCAAAAGGACCTATGACAAAAAATGCCATCTACCTTCAGAAAGAGAACTGATGAACTTTGAATGCAGATTGGAACATACTTTTTAAAAACTTTATTTTTCTTTTTTTTGTCTGGAAATATGTTCTGCAAGACTTCGAATGTATAATTGATAATCAAATTGCTTGCCTTCTCAAGGAGGGGGGAAGAGTGGGAAGATGGAAAGAATTTGGAACACAGAATTTTAAAAAAAATGAATGTTAAATTTTTTCACATGTAATTGGGAAATATTAATGAAATAAAAATATATTGGAAAAAAATAAAAGCCATGGGACAGCAGGCGGAATGGATCCATAGGCAAAGCCAAGAGGGAATCTAATCCTGTATCACCTTAGAATGGGAGTCACAGGTCAAGTAGCTTCAGGGGAGAAGGGCTAACTGAGGCCCAGTGCTGTGATCTGTCCTCTCATTATCTTCCAGTAAGGGGCCTGTTCTTGGAGCAACATACTGAAAGGCTTGGTAAGCCTGTTTGCAGAGGTGTGTGATGGAGAGGCAGCCCTTTCAGGGCAAACACAGCTATTTGCAGACTACTTATTGGCTTACTCTGGAATGATGTAAATGGATTGCTGAGCTGGGACCGTACAAAAGACAAGCACAATGATCTTTCTTTCTCCTTTTTGAGTTAAATCATGTTGACTTGGATATGAAAATAATCAATATCATATATCCATTATATATAGATAAGGCAGCAGGTGCCTTAGCTCTCCACTTGGGCTGCTATGTGCTCATGAACACATGGCTGCTTGTGTTTTGGTTTTTTTCTGTACCTGTTGCCTTTATTCTTTCTTGATCTTAGGTAAGTAAGTATCATAGACTTTGTGAAGTTCAAAAGGTTGAAGAGCCACAAGACATCTCAGAATGGTAGCCAATAGCAGAGTCTACTGGTAGTCATAGCAGTTGTCTGATGAGGACGTGTCTTGGTACAAGGGGATATTTTTAAATTCTGTCCTCTTACTTTCTCAGTAAATATCCTTTTTTTTTTTTAGGCAATTGGGGTTAAGTGACTTGCCCAGGGTCACACAGCTAGTAAGTGTCAAGCGTTTGGTCTGGGGCCTGATTTGAACTCAGGTACTCCTGACTTCAGGGCTGGTGCTCTATCCACTGCACCACCTAGCTGCCCCTAAATATCCTTTTGTTAAAGCTAATTGGTGTTGACTGGTTAATTGATACTGAGGAGGGGACTAATTGGTTAAAATTATGTTTGGGTTAAATGATACTGTGAGATGGTAACTGACAATCAACGTTGGGGGAATACACAGGAAAGCGACTTGTGAGCAATAGTATCAACCAATACCCCAACCTCACAGGGTTCCCTAGAATTTTGAGGGGAGCAATAGCCTTGACTGAATGACCTGCTTTGCTACTCAGACTGTAAGTTGAGAGAATAAGCCCAAAGCCTATATGTGTTACACATGCAAAGAAAACACTTAAGACAATATAGTTTATAAAGACAGTAGTTTTAAAAGTAACTATAGCCAGCAGCTCCAAGATAGGGATGGGTAGAAAAAGCAGCATGACTGGATTCCTCAACGTCAAGCTCCCCCCATTAGGGAAGAGAAAGCAGGAGAGTAAACAGGACAGATAACTCAAAAATGGTTTCAATACCCCTTCCTTTACCCTCCCCACACATTAAAGCACTGGGGAAGTTTCCAATATTGTTTCACTAACAACCCCACAAAAAGCATTTACTAAATGCTTGCCAACGGCCAGACACTGTGCTGCGCACTAGACATACATAGAAAGGCAAAAACATGCTCCCTGCCCTCAAGGAGCTTATTCTTTTTTTTTTTAATATTGTTTATAGTTGTTTTTTTTTTCATATTAAACATTTTCACATTAGTCATGTTGTAAACAAGAATTAGGACCAATGGGAGGAACCATGAGAAAAAAGAAACTAAACAATAACAACAAAAAAGAAAGCAAATAGTATGCTTCCATCTGCATTCAGCCTCCATGGTTCTTTCTCTGGATGTGGACAGCATTTTCCATCATGAGTCTTTTGGGAGTTGTCTTAGATCCTCACATTGCTGAGAAGACCCAAGTCTATAAAAGTTAGTCATTGCACAATGCTGCTGTTTCTGTGTACAACGTTCTCCTGGTTCTGCTCACTTCACTCAGCATCAAGCTTACATTCTAATGGGGAGACCACATGCAAGCAATGATATATACACAAGGGTAAGGAGGAGGTAATCTGAGTAAAGGCACTAGCATTAAGAGTGATTGGGGAAAATCCCTTGGATTTAAGCTGAGATTTCAAGGAAGCCAGGGAATCTCTGAGATGGAGATGAAGAAGAAAAGCATTTCAGATACAGGGGACAGAAAGTCATGGAATCAAGAGACAGAGTATCACTAGATTGTAAAATACGAGGAGGGGAGCAAAGAGTAAGAAGACTGGAAAAATAGGAAAAGTCCAGGTTGTGAAGGGCATTAAAAGTCAAACACTGGATTTTATCTTTGATTTTGAAGATAATAGGGAGCCATTGTAGTTTGCTGAACAGGGGAGTAACATGGTCAGACCTTGCACTGAGATCACCTTGGAGGCTGAGTAGAAGATGGCCAGGAATGGGAAGGGATCTGAGGCAGAATGACCAACCAGGAAGCTATTGCAATAGTCCAAGTATGACCCCAACTGATAAATGGTCAAAGGATATGAACAAGCAGTTTTCAGAGGAAGAAATTAAAGCTATCCAGTCATATGAAAAAATGCTCTAAATCACTATTGATTAGAAAAATGCAAATCAAAACGACTCTGAGATACCACATCACACCTATCAGATTGGCTAACATGACAAAATAGGAAAATGATAAATGTTGGAGAAGATGTAGGAAAATTGGAACACTAACGCATTGTTGGTGGAGTTGTGATCTGATCCAACCACTCTGGAAGGAACTATACCCAAAGGGTTATAAAGTTGTGCGTGCCCTTTGACCCAGCAATACCACTTCTAGGTCTGTATCCCAATGAGACCATAAAAATGGGAAAAGGACCCACACGTACAAAAATATTTATAGCAGCTCTTTTTGTGGTGGCAAAGAATTTGAAATTGAGGGGATGCCGATCAACTGGGGAATGGCTGAACAAGTTGTGGTGTATGAATGTAATGGAACACTATTGTGCTATAAGAAATGATGAGCAGGCAGACGGCAGAAAAACCTGGAAAGACTTGCATGGATCGATGCTGAGGGAAATGAGCAGAAATAAGAACATCATACATACTAACAGCATACTGTGCGATGGCTGACTCTGATAGACTTGGCTATTCTCAGCACCGCAAGGATCTAAGGCAACTCCAAAAGACCCTGCCCTCAAGGAGCTTACATTGTAACCGGGGAAGGCAACACAATTTTTTTTTTTCATCCAAGTTCAATAGCCTCCAGAAATCTGCCCAGCGAGGTTAAGAACCACACCCACACCGGGAGCGCGGCTTCGTTGCCCTGGTAACAAGTCCTTCCCCCTCCGCGGCGCCAGGCGACACGCACACGACGCGCATGCGCAGGAGCGCAGTACGGTGGGAGGCTCTGCAGGGTGCGGGTCGACCCCCGTTTGCCGTCACAGACCGACCCCGGGAGAGCCATGGCGGCGGCGAAGGAGGCGCTGTGTAGCTTCGTGCGTCCGCTGGAAAAACGGGACGGGACGGTGCTGCGGCTGCAGCAGTACGGCTCAGGCGGCGTGGGCTGTGTGGTGTGGGACGCCGCCATCGTCCTGGCCAAGTACCTGGAGACGCAGCATTTCTTGGGCGCCGCCGCTGGGACACACGCGCTGCGCCAGAGATCCGTGCTGGAGCTGGGAGCCGGCACCGGCGCCGTGGGGCTCATGGCGGCCACCCTCGGGTACGAGTTGAGTTCCCGCCGAGGGTCGCAGGCGGAGTTGGTGGGGGAAGGTGGGCGGGAGGGGCGCCGCGACGCCTCTGGGCTGGGAACCTGCGCACGCGCACGCGCTCACGAGCTGTTCAGACCAGACACGGCGTCCCGCCCTCTACCCTTACGCACGCTCGCGCCTTCTCCCAGGACTGGGCGTGGCCTGCAGCTTTCGACCCGCCCCCTTCCCCCCGCGGCCTCCTCTTGCGGGAGGCGGGGGCTGGCTAGACGGCTAGGCTGTGCCCCCTACCCCCCACCGCACCCGGCCCCCCCCCCACACACACTGACTCACACTCACGTACGTGTGTTCCCACTTCCTTTGTAGGGCAGATGTTATACTCACAGATCTGGAGGAACTACAGGACTTGCTTAAGTTGAATATTAAAATGAACGAGCATCTCATTACTGGTTCTGTAGAAGCCAAGGTACTGAAATGGTTTGTATACTCTTTTAACTTGAGTTTAAGAATTGTGCAGATGTAGCTTTATTTAAAGTGTGTCTGTGCTGAAAAATACTTACTCCCTGAGGAAATTATGTAGTTTTCTAAATCGTGAACTTTTTTAAATTAGAGAAATAAATCTTGATAAGTATGTCTCTTTTTAAGGGGCGAAGAAAGAAAAGACTGTTTCTCTCCACCTGATTACATATTGATGGCCGATTGTATATACTATGAAGAGGTAACTATTCAATAACCATGAAGCTTGTTTCCAGAAACAAGTATTTATTTTAAATTTTGCATTTTTTCCCCCCAATTACACGTAAAAACAATTTTCAACATTTGTTTTTAAAATTGAGTTCCAAATTCTCTCCCTTCCTCCCCAGCCCCTCATTGAAAAGGCAAGCAATTTGGTATAGGTTATACATGTGGAAACAAGTATTTATTGATTCTCTGTTGGGTTCCTCCCCTTGTCTCTCATGGAACCAACAGACTAGTTGGGGAAACAAAACTTTTGTTCAGTACAAACTATATAAAAGTTCAGGGAAAGGAAAGATAACTGAGAGTTGTAAGATAGCAAAAACACATAGCTGTGTAGCAAGGCTAATAAGTGGTGGATCTGTTTTGAAACATTAAGAATTGAATTGTCTTTGAAAATATGATTTATGAATTTTTTGGCCATTCAGAATGAATTATTTAGAATTTTTAAAAATGGCATTTAAAGAGCTAAATGTCTGTGGAAAGGTGATAAATTAGTGTTTTTGAGCCTAGAATCATGCAGTATTTTTCTTTAAATGGTAGCGTAAGGTTTTGTGAGATGCTTATCCTTATCCACTAAACAGAGAGGTAACTTATGATTAAAGTTAAGGAACTGCTTAAATTTGGTTCTATTTTTTTAAGGATGAGAGTCAAGAGAAACGTGAGCAGAGCATTTTTTTTTAAAAATCGTTTGCTTCTTTCAGTATAAAGAACAACTTTCTTTAGTTTTCATTCTTTCAAATTTGACCCCTTAGGCCAATTCACTGATTAGTGAAGTTTGGAGCTTTTATAAGATTTGAGCAAATGCTGTTTATACAACATACTAGGCAGTTTGGGGAATACAAAGAAGAAGACTCATTTCAGTTATAATTATTTCCAGTTGTAACATTATTTCCTTTTAAACAGTCTTTGGAGCCATTGCTAAAGACTCTAAAGGATCTCAGTGGGCCTGAGACCTGCATCATATGTTGTTATGAACAACGAACTATGGGGAAAAATCCAGAAATAGAGAAAAAGTATTTTGAGGTAAGTACCTCTTTACAGCCAATGACTATAGACTGTTTTGTCATTTATTTTCAAAGCTTGATATTCTCTGAAAAAAAGTGGACGAAATTGTTTTCCAAAAGAGTGAACAGTTAGAGCGCTATTCTCAGTATTCATAAATGGTTTGTGGCAGTTAGGCTTAACGGTTAGACCTTGGAATTAAGATGATTTAATTCAAATTCTGCCTTAGACATATAGTGGTTGTCTCATCCTGGGCAAGTGAGTTAACCTGAGCTTTTAATTTTGTTATCTATAAAACAGAAATAATAAAAGCACTTAGATATAGATTGTTGAGAAGTTGATATGACATAATTTATGTAAGATATCTTGCCAATCTTAAAGTGTTATATAAATGTATTTTTTGAATGTCCTTATAATCTTTGTCTTGGATTCTTTAACTGAAAAAAATGGGGTTACTTTTTTACTTTTGAAAAAATTAATTTCTTAATAGCCTTATGTGTAAAAAAACAATTCAAGTTTGTTCATACTTCATTAGTAAAGATAATGATATCTTCAAAATGAACTTAGTATCTCCAAGAAACAAATTATTGGCAGGAGATTGTTAGAATTGTTGCCAAAAAATGAGGGAGAAAAATCTATTCAAGCAGTCAGCTCAATTCACATTTTATCTCACTTAAAAAATAGTAGTAAACCTATATTTAGTTTCAACTGAACAGGAAATATAAAATTGTGTGACATGTAGTATATTTCTCCTTTTATCCTCTGGGGGGCATATGTGACATGTCTGCTGGTTTTTAAAAGAAAGTTTTGTAGATTCTCTGTTCAAAACAGGTGGGTTTGAGGGGAGCTTTCTACCTCATATCTGGAACAGATTTCTGCAGCTGTTTAAACAAATTTTTCTTACACTGCTGTAAAAGTAGCACTTAACTTGCATGATGGGGTCTGTGTGTACGTAGGCCGAGCAAACACTCTGAAATTGTTGTATGATCAAAAAATAATTCAGTGATGTATGAGTTCATCCATGTGTGTCTCCTCCACAAACAAATCCTAACCCCCTCAATACCTTGCTAGATAGGCCCAGATAATTGTTTTTCTTTTCTGCCAGAGCACTTTAATGAGTTGCTCTGGCAGAAAAGAACAAAGAGCTATCTGGGTCCAGTCCTCTGTGCTGGGTCTTGGAAGAGAGATTTATAGGCCATTTCCAGCTTTTCCATCTCAGTAGGACCTGCCAGAATTCATAACCATTTTGCATGGTATTCGAGAGCTCAGGGTCACCTCCATGCCACAGTGAAGTTTTGGAATAGGATTTTTTATAGGTGACCAGAAAATATCTAACGGTCAGATATGTTTCCTGGCTCTCTCTACATGGGCACACACTCATGGAAACTCTCTTACACCATACAGTAGCTTAAGAAATAGGAAAATTTGCTGTGGTTCCCAAGTTTGAGGGACTCCAAAGTACCATTACCCAAATGCACAAATGGACCTGTGATCTGAACATTTCAGAAGTTTTTTTCCAGTAAGGCATATCACAGCCCATCAGTGCCTGACCATGTTGTATGACTGTCCATGTTCTCCCAGAAGTTCACCAAGGGAAGGGGGGGAGCGCACAACACAGCTGGAGATCAACCAGCAACACTAGGGTACCAGTGAAGTGCTTCATTCTTGTCATAGGACCAGTCCAATCTTTTCTTCCTGTCTTATAATTCCTTGGTGATGGTCTTTACTCTTCTTCTTAGGAGATCCTCATTGGATATGTATACCACCTTGACACTAAACCTGCATTGACCTCTACGTGATACTCAAACTTAGTTTCTCAGAGGCAGTAGTTCGCAAGCAAACACTGACAGAATAATTTAAACGAACATTAGTATTAGCTACTGTTTTACTCCCTAAGGAAGCTGAGACTTAAATATCAGAACATAAAGCTGTTTATGGGACTGCCCTCTGAATAGGCATTTTATATTTAATCTTGCTTTGTACTTGGGCATATCCCCTGTTTGGTGGCTCTCTTCTCTAAATCATAAATTCCCTTTGCTACCAGTCAGTTCCAAACAGCGAAATCAGGATATCTAACATCTCAAATTTAGGAGGTTGCCTCCAAGATGGAACCTCTGTGTCATGTGATCACTGTTTGTAGTCAACTGTAATAAGGCAAAGAAACATAAAACAGAAGAGGCAACTTTCTCGAGTGTGGCTATTTGAGTTCCTCCTCCTTTAGCTGCCATGTGGGAATGGTCAGCATGTTGTCAAGAGCGGGGCAAGGGTGATCTTCTTCCCCTATTACCGCCATGGATAGACTTGAATGGTCCTGATGCTGTCTGTGGCTTGGGAGAAAAGAGCAACGGAGGATTGGTTACTTCCTTGTAATGATGCCCAGTAAGTCAGTGGCTCTTTCTGCTCAACAGTCAATAAGGGGATTTGTTTTGTTATTCCCTAAATTTCTGTGTCCTTAAGTCCTGAGTGACACATGGCTTGTTGGATGCATTTACAGCCTTTATCTCACTCAAGTGCAGAGCTGGTAAACATGGTTGTCAGGAAGCAAGCAGGGCAATTCTAGTCATGCCCTAATAGACCATCATCAAGAATGTCCTTGATTTGTGTATAGAGGATTCATAAAGATTCTTTATAGAGGGAAGACCAGGCAAATAGGTTGGTGTTATTGATGTACTCTTGTTCTTTTTTTTTCAGTATTAATAAAGGCCAAGATTTTTTCCCCTACACTTTCATATTTGGTTCTTCTTCGCATACCTTGTTTATCAGTCCCCTAGCACCCCCATAGTTGTATCACTTCTGCTATCATAAATCTGCTCTCTATATATTTGATCTTATCGGGTTGCTTTTTCTGACTCTTTTCTTAACGTTTCTATCACCAGTAATAGGCACCTCAGGGAGTGATTCTTTAAGGTCCAAATGTGGTGGTTCCATTATTCTTCTTGGAGAAAACAGTCTATTAAAATGGATTTTGCAAATTTTGCATTTTTCTTCTCTTTGGAATACTCCTATTTTTATCCTTGAATGCCTTTGTGATGACTTTGCTTAGTTGGATATCTTACCAAGCTTTCTTTAAACTGGTTTTACTCTCTGTCTTATTAGATGATACTGTTCATAATTGCCCATCATCCTTCTTCATAAAGTTTTACAGATGAGTTTATATTCTAACCTAATGTTGCCTTTGGCAACCATCTCTGCATTTGCCAAGTAAGCTAGATATTTGCTGACTAAGGTGCTTTTTGGATTCTTTTGGTCTCCTTGTTTTGGCAATTAATTTTTGGGTGAAATTATTATAAGTATTAATGTCATTTCTGTAGCCCATTTCCCATTTTTGGCTTTCAATAACTGAAATAATTTAAGGTTAAAACATTTTAATCATAAACAATATCTTTTTTCTCATTCTTGTAGTTTACTAATTCTGATTTAAACTCTGACAAGTTGATGATCTGACTGTACACAGACAACTGATTCAGGAATGATTCTTGCATCAATAAGAGGTCTTATCCTGTCTGCTAAAATAAGACCTATTTAATAATCATTTACTTATGCTTTAAAGTTTGCAGAATGCTTTCCATTTGTTACTTCATTGATCGTTCTTTATAATGTTATTTGGTACATACCATGTTCAAACTATTATTTTTTTGAAAGAAAGTCTTGGTACTATAGAGGCATGAGGCTATGTAATTCACAAGTAATTGGTCTCCGTTCTGTTTTTTTTTTTCCTGAACCATGCTTTCATAAAATTTTTGCCTCATCTTTACATTTTTCTGCCTTTGCATTGAAGTCACCAAGTGTCAGTGTGTATGTTAATTTGATTCAGAAGGTCTTAACAGCTTCTTCAAAGAATTTCTCTACTACTTCGTTTTCAAAAATTGGTGTTGGTAAACTGCAAATATTTTTATGGTGGTCTTTTTGCAAATATTGATCATGTATTATAATATTAATAATAAGTAAGGCTGCATCATGTAATAGAAATACTAATCCCTCATTGGAGAGAGGCCCTTATGACTATTTCCTCTAGTTCTGTATTTGCTTAGGGATTACTTAAGGAGACTGCCCTCCTACACAAACTAAGAGTGCATATCTCACTTCTTCAGTTTTATATACTAGATGAGAATTAAGTACAGTGCAGCTAAGAACTCTTGAGGAATCTCAAGAGTGTTTGCAGTATGTAACTAAAGGGTCAGGCTCTATTTATGAAAGAATCAGTGCTTTAGACTGCCTTAAATTGGGATATATGGTCATATTATTTAATTCTCATGTTTTTCTGTAATGTTAAGATGAAAGTTAATTGGCTTTTTTGAAGTCATTGTTTTTAAAGTGTGTGTGTGTGTATATATATATATATATATATATATATATATATATATATATATATATATATATATATATATATATATATTTGTAATTCTGTAATAGCTCCTCCAGTTGGATTTTGACTTGGAAAAGATTCCTTTGGAGAAACATGATGAAGAATACCGGAGTGAAGATATTCATATTTTATACCTCAGAAAGAAAAAATGGTAACTTTAAAGAGTGGTTCTCATTTCTTTGCAGAGCTCACTTTTTATACAGTAGTTTTTGTCTTGAGGGGAATATATTTTTGCCACATTTCTGACATGTGCATAATGAGGTGATATTGTACTTAATTTTATTTCTTACATGTTTTAACTTAGTTGTCTAAATGAAACCAAATAAACCTCATTTGCTTTGTAGTTAAGATAACTATTTTACATAGAATATTTTGAGGAATTGTCTAATAGCCATTTTCTCATATAACACACAAAATTCTGTAAAGAAAGAAGCATGATAAGTGGTTGCTTTCAGAGTCTGAGAAAAGAAAATCTCTTCCTTTTCTCTACTGGGATTCTTGGTCTTTGTTGATGGTCGTACTTCCTAGCTAGTATATTCTTCTGAACTGTTAGCAGATGTTTACAAAATGTCTAGATGTCAGTTAAATTTTGGTTTTTGTAAACATTATTGAATACTTATTCTTTGTAAAAACTGTGTGGAAGTGGATAACTTGAAGTATTTGTAAAATTTCCCCATAAATAATAGTCTTAGAAAAAAATAGTTTCCTGGCAAAACCAAATATAAAATGTCAGCCTTTATCTGTAACCTTTTTCCATCTGAAAGCTTGAGGAAGTTTTGATGACTTTTCCACATTAGGTGATGGATTTAAGATTAAGCAGTTTATAGTACCAAAGGGTACCAAAAGGGTACTATCTGGAGCCTACTATCAGTAGGACCTTTTTCTTTGATCTGCCCTTAGGCTTCTTCATTAGGTCTTAGTGACACTCACTATCATTGTTTAGTCCCACTTGTGCTACTCAGGATAAAGTTTGCTAATCCCTAGTTAAGGGGTTTGAAGTGAAGATCGAACCATTTTTTAAAATGATATTTTTAAATATAGTCAACTCTTGCCTTCTACCCATGAATTATTCTTGGAAAGTTTTTAATCCTGAGTAGATTTACCTCTGTCATTGTATGTCTGCTCCTTAGCTACCACCTTCAGTTGGTTTGTGGACAGTGCAATAAATAAAGCACCTGTTGTAGTCAGAACACTATGCCAATGAATTTAAATAGGCTAAATAAAACATAATCAGAAAGGCAACTCTTCTGCCCAAAAATGCATTACGGAATCAAATGTAAAATGTTCAGATTATCTCGTTACATTATCTTCAAGTTGTCTGTATAAGGTGTATAAAGCATGGAGAGCAAATAAAATAGTCTTCTTATTTGGAAGCACCTAGGTGGCTTAGTGGATAGAGCACTGGACCTGGAGTCAGGAAGACCTGAGTTCAAATTTGGCCAAATACTTACTAGCTGTTATTAACAATCAAACAGTTACTAGTTGTTTGCCTTAGTCCACTGGAGAAGGAAATGGTAAACCACTCCAGTATCTTTGCCAAGAGAACTCCATGGACAGCATTGCATGCCGTGATCCATAGAGTCACAAAGAGCTAGACATGACTGAACAGCAACGTGTTGGTCTGTGTTAATGTTGCCATAACCTAATTTTTTTTTCCTTTGAGCAAGATATCATTTATTAACAGAGACATTAACAGATAATAATTGGTAATAAAGGGTCAGTGGCTTGCCTGTTTTTGCCAGAGACCCAGAACTGAAGATGCAACTCACTTTTATAAGCATAGAACAAAGAACAGGACAGATACCATATAATAAGCCAGCGTCATGGGGGTGAAGGTTCATGATTGGTTACATTGCTGAGATGAGGGGAAGAACATGATTGGTTGGAGGTTTGGTAATGAGGAGCTACATAGCTTAATGTTTTAAGGAGTAAGGTATGTGAAAAATGGCTGTTGAGAAAAGGTGATGACATTAGTAAATGGGAGTTTGGACAATGTATTTTTTCATGTTTTGGGGATTTTGTTTTGAAGCTAAAGGCTTGAAACCCAAGATTTTCTTATCTCTTTCTTTTTTCTTACAGAAATTACAGCGTTGAAACCCTTCATCATTTTGTCCAAGTTTGCAACAACTAGATAAGCTAAACATGTGAATTGGGCTTATAAGAATAGCATGAAAAAGTTTTCATCACATATTTTCATGGCTTATCAGAGACATTGGATTTGAATGATAGAAATAGAAACATGGGTGCTACTTTGAATTCTTAGAAGAATTCTACTAAAAGTCAACCAATGTGACCTGCCAGCATTCCTAAAGATATTCCATTCCCTGCATGTTGGATGAGACTTAATTGTAACCAGAGTTGTTGTTTGACCCAACATGAAATTCTGTTTTAAAGACGTGGATAATGTGTTGGAAAAAATTATATGCTAAAACAATAACTTGTTGTGCTTTCAAGAAACTGAAGAGCGTTGATTTTTACTTCTTGAAGGGACAATTTTTAAGCCTCATATCTGTACTTCAGATTGTATTCAATCTAGATAAATGTAAAAGAGGATCTCATGAGTTTGAGTTTTGTCTGTAACAAAGCCAGCAGTCTTTGTTTTACATATATTTCCTTTGTAATTACATTTTAAGATAGGTTTAATACTTGAAAATGTCTCCTTGGTTCAAATGAAAACTAAGCAGTTTCACATTTGTTTTTATAAAACAAAATTTTTTGTTACTGTAAATTTGAGAAATATAAACATTTCCTTATACAAAGAAGTACAGAAAAAGAGGATTGTTTATGACACTGTGAAACTTGATTGTGTTGATAGTTATTTTTAAATATAAAACATGGTAGTTCCAACACTACCCTGCATGTCTGTATCTGCTTCTGAAACTTTTTCTCTATTTTATGTATTTTTTTCAATGTTTCATTAATGTTCTTTTCAGTTCTTTTCTTTTTTTGATATCACTACCTCTCCATCCCCCCACTAATTAATTAAATACATTCAATGTTACATTGACTCTTTACTTTTTTATTACCGTACTACAAAAATTTTAAAATCTTTGTAACAAGTATACTAAAGCAAAACAAATTTGTACACTGTGTCTAATAACATATGTCTCAATACTTTTCCCTTCATTTTCCTCTTCTCTCCTCTTTGAAAAGGAGCTAGAGTAATAGGAATCTTGATTAGTGCTGCTGCTGTGTAATTGAAGGGGTTCATTTGTACTCTTCTGCTCCTCCTCTCTTCATCAGCCCTGATTTCTAGTTTTTATTTTTTTTAAGCCTTTATCATCTACTGTCCAAAATTGATGTTTTTCTTGTGACTGCTGCTTTCCCAGCTCTATCCATCAAAGCCCACTCTTCCTTTTTCCATTCCCAGTTGCTTATTTGTTGTATTTACTATAGTTCTACACCAGATTCTGTGTGTATTTCTTTTTTTAACCCTCTTTTTGTTCAGTTCAGATAAGAGTGAGTGATCATGATGTGCTTGTTTTCCCCATCCCTTCCTCTATTTGTGCATACTCTTCTCTAGTATTCCAATTATGTGAAATAGTAAGCTCTTGCTCTTTCTTAATTTCTTCCCTAGTGTATTATTTTCTTACCTTTTTCTTTCCTCTCTTAAACAATAAAAAAGAACGAAAATATCCAGTCCCTGTGTTTGTATAGTTCTTAACTCCCTCTGTGATCCTTGTCCCTTCTTTCTCTATTAGAATGTAAGAATTTCATTCAACCCCATCCAGTTGGTCAAATGCGTTGACCTATCCAGGTTTCTCTTAACTTGTGTTTGCGTGTCAAAGTTCCCACTCCACTCTGAACTTTTCATCAAAATTGCTTGAAAGTTTGCTATTCCATTAAAGGCCCATTTTTCCCACCATAGGAATATACCCAGTTTTATATGGTAAATTATTCTTGGTTGTAAGCTTTTGTCATGTGTTATGAGATGTAATCTTCCAAGACTTTATCTCTTTTGTAGGAGTTGTAGCATAGTTTTATGTAACCTTTACTGTGTTTCCTTGATGTTTGAACTCTATTTTTCTTTAACTTGAAAGCTCTAGAATTTAGCTATGACACTTCTGAGTGTTTTCAGTTTGGAGTTTCTAATAGATACACACACAAGTGGTTTACTTTTGTAGTTTCTTGCAATATGATAACTAAGTTTTTTATTTGGTTATGGTATTTAGGGAGTCTACTTAAATTCTCGACATATTTTTGTAGGTAAGTTGTTCTTTATAGTAGATACTTTATATTTTTTGGATCTTGCTGTAATATTTCTCTTTGTCTCATGGAGTCATTGAGTTCTGATTACTCCATTCTGTTTTTCTAAGGGGTTCATTATTTAAGTAAGGTTTTCAATTTTCCTTTCTAAATTACTTATGCTATTTTTTCCTTCCAGAATTCTTATTTCAGTTCCAATTCCACATTTTGGTGCTCTGTTTTCTTTCAGTCATTCTTATGTTTCTTGTGGCTGATCCAGTTTTTCTGTGAGGTTCTATTTGTACTTTTCACAAGTTACTCTTGTTATTTGGGATTCTTTCTTAAGCTACAGTATTTCTTCATTGCATTCATTGATTTTTTTTGGTGTGGTTTTGAAAGATTAAGAAAAGAAAGAAAAAATGGGATATGCTAGGGCATAAAGGAAGAGAAAGAGGTGGAAATTTACTAGTTCACATGATAGTGTACAAGATGAACAGTACATGAACATGGAGGAGGGAATGGGCATCATATAGAATGGGTGTCACTTCAATCCGAACAAGACAAATGGGCCTTAAGATTCTGGGCTCATGGTTGGGGAGAGGAGGGAGGGAATGAAAGAAGACTTGAAAAGTAGGAAGGGATTCTGGTAATGGACGGCTTTAAAAGCCAAACAACATTTTATATTTGATCCTGGAGGCACTAGGGTGCCACTGGAATTGATTTAATGGGGGTGGAAGAACGACTAACATGGTCAGACTTACTTTAGGATTTGACAGCAGAGGAGGATGGTCCAGTGTGGGGAAAAGAAGAGTCAGGGAGATCAAAAGTCAGGGTTCTTCAATAGTCTAGGTGTGAGGTGATGAGGACTTGCACCAAGGTGGTAGCAGTGTCAGAGGAGAAAAAGAGGTATATACAAGAAATATTACAAGGGTAGAAATAATAGGACTTGGCAACTAATTGGATGTGAGGGCTAAGAAAGATTAAGGAGTACAGGATGACATCTATGTGACTGGGAGGATAATGGGACCCTTGACAATATTCTATTCTAAGCTCCCTCTTTTTCCACATGGAGGATTCTCAGTGTTAGCTTCCAAGTCTTATGTGATCTTTACTATAGGTTCCTTTGTTACTCAAATCCTTTTTTTCTAAAAGCTTGAATTATTTTTAATTGGATTTTGGCTATGATCTTCCTAGGAGTTTTCATGTGGGGTTTCTTTCAGGAGGTGATTGATGGATTCTTCCTCGTTTCACTTTGCCCTCTAGTTCCAATAGAACCGGGCAATTTTCATTTATGGTTCCATGAAATATAATATTCATGGGGTTTTTTTGGTTTCATTTTGTTTTTTGGTTCATGATTTTCAGGTGGTCTGATGATTCTTCTATTCTCTCTCCTTCACTTGTTTTCTAGGTCAGTTAATTAAAAAAGTAGTTTATACCTTATTTATTTTCTAGTATTTTGATTTTGTTATATTATTTCTTGCTGTTTTATGGAGTCTGCTTTCTGTTTGGCCCATTCTAATTTTTCAGAGAATATAGTTCTCAGGTAAGGTTTAGCACTTTCTGTCCTAAACTATTAATTCTCATTCATGTTCTTTCCTCCCTAGTTCTAATTTCATGTAACATTGCATTTTATACCTCTTGCTTGTGTTTAAGGCCTATTTGTCTTGTTCAAATGAAAGTGGCACCTATTTCATAGATGTCTACTTCTGGGAACTCTCACTATTTTTCCGAGTTTACCCCTTGGGCTTCTGTTAGGCTGTGGGATTTCTTTATTGTACTGTACATGTTCTGTTTATGTCTACAGGCTTAGTTTCTGGTTTGAGACTTTTTATTTATAGCAGACTCTGCTCATTGCCATATTCTTGAATGGTGTATGTAGGTTCTATTTAGTCCTATATGTGGTTACTTGGGCCAATCAATCAACCAATATTTTATAAAGCATCTACTTTATGCCAATTACTGTGCTAAGTACTGGGGATACAAAAAAGACAGTCCCTGCCCTCAAGGAGCTTTCAATGTAATAGGAAAACAACAAGCAAAGAAATATACACATAAGCTATATACAGGATAAATGGGAAATAACAGAAAGAAAGCACTAGAATTAAGAGAGGTTGGGAAAGACTTCCTGTAGAAAATGGGATTTAGTTGAGACTTTAAGGAAGTTAGAAAACCCGGGAGGCAGAGATGTGGAGGGAGAACATTTCAGGCCTGTGGGACAGTCACAGGAAGTGCCTGGAACTGAGAGATGGAGTGTCTTGTTTGTGGAACAGCCAGGAGGCCAGTGTCACCAGATAGAAGAGTGTGTGTTGGTTAGTAAGGTGTAAGAAGATTAGAAAGGTAGGAGAACCAGGAAAGAGAGTTGTCCTAAAGAGAAGAAAGTATCAAGGAGAAGAGAGGGATCAACAGTGTCAAAGCCTGCAGAGTTGAGGATGCGGACTGAGAAAAAGCCATTGGATTTGGTAACTCAGAGATCATTAGTAACTTTGGAGAGGGCAGTTTTGGTAGAATGACGAGGGTGGAAAACCAGACCCCAACTACTCTAGGAATCTTTGGGTTTTTGTTTCAGTTCCTGTTGGCTCTGCTTAGGCCTCTACCCCTTCTCAGTCAGTTAACCACAAGCATTTATTTTTATTTTTATTTTATTTTATTTTTTTAGGCAGTTGGGGTTAAGTGATTTGCCCATGATCACACAGCTAGTGTCAAGTGTTTGGTCTGAGGCAAGATATGAACTCAGGTCCTCCTGCTTAAGGGTTGGTGCTCTATCCACTGTACCACCTAGCTGCCCCATAAGTTTTTTTTTTTATTTTAAGCTATCGGGGTTAAGTGACTTGCCCAGGGTCACACAGCTAGTAAGTGTCAAGTTGGTCTGAGGCCGGATTTGAACTCAGATACTCCTGACTTCAGGGCTGGTGCTCTATCCACTGCGCCACCTAGCTGCCCCAGGCACAAGCATTTATTAAGCCATTACTATGTTCCAGTGTGCTAAGTCTCCTTCTTCAGTCCCTTGTAATTGTGAGAGATCCCAACCAGATATGCTCATTTTGCTGATTGCAGGCTTCCTTTAAGACCTCAGGTACTTTGCTGCCCAGACATTGCTTCCGCCCTGCCTTTGCTGTTGCTCAGGTATGAGCTGCCTTGTCCTTCATCAGGCATGGGGCTGCCTGGACTTTGATCTTGCAGTGCACAGGATTCCTGAGCACTGTTTCCTGGGTGTAGTTATGGTTCAGTTGGAACTTCCTGGCTCTGCCTCCTGCTACAGTGTGACTCTGAATACTGCTTTTTTTAGTTACTGCTCTGGCCTTGACTCAGTGGCTCTGGACACCACCACTCTGGGTACCTCTTCTAAGAGGGCTAACTAGCTATTTCAAGTCACAGTTCGGGGGGGGTGGCCTGGGTCCTTTGTTTCCTGGATGTGACCTGGATGGGTGCCGGTTTAGCCCTGCCTCCTTCTTTGGATCTGGGTTGCTTCTGTACCTTCTGCATGCTCTGACTTGTTCATTCTTAGTTTCCACAAGTTTCTGGTAGATTTTTTTGTGCAATCCTGGACTGGACGGAGGAGCTTATTGTCATTCCTCTTTGATCTTATCTTTGGTCCTTCTGGTACATTTTTAGGGGTCTACTGAGGCATTTGTGGGGGATCTGAGCTCAACTAGGCCCTGACATTATCACCATTTTAGCCAGAATTCTAATAACAGGAGGTATCTCTGTGGGGTTGGTGAACTGTGGTTTTGGGAGCATCAAGTGGATAGAGCAGTGGGCGTGGAGTCTGGAAGGCCTGAATTCAGGTGTGGTCTCAGTAACTTATTAGCTGTGTGA